AAAACTGCTCGTCAAGGTTACTTTCATCCTATTTTAATATTTTTATTTAGTATAATTAAGTATTGATGAAATAACGCTGGTGTTTCTGTTCTATAGTAATGCGACATTAGATTGCCGGCACAATTCTGTTAAGCATCAACACAACTCGATTATGCTGGCTGCATATCTATTATAGAGCACGAGTGGATTATTCACACAGATAAATCGTTCATTGTTCGTCCTCAGCAATCTAATGTCGCATTACTGTAGAACAGAAACACCAGCGTTATTTCATCAATACTTAATTATACTAAATAAAAATATTAAAATAGGATGAAAGTAACCTTGACGAGCAGTTTTGTACTTTTATCTAATGAAATGTTTTTAAACAGTAGTACAAAAAATAACACAACAACCATCTCAGTGAATTTATCACTGCATCATTTTTTTACTCTTGTAATTTGTACATAAGTTGTCATTAACAGCTGCATTAGTCAAGGAGACTAACATTAACGATGATAGTTTCTTATTTTTACTTGTGCTAAGAACAGATAATTCCATTGATAACAACATATTTCACTGATTTATTGATTTGTTTTCAGAAATTAATAGTACATAGTGGTGCTGAGATAATATATTATGAACTGGACAAGAACGTTAGTATTGTGTAACATACTTCGAATGAGAAAAAAATATCATTCAAGTGTATCCAATTCATCTCCGTTAAAAGATCATCGCTTACCGCCAATGAGTTGTGAAATCAGTAAGCCAGAGAATGGTTGAAAATACTTCATTCAATCAGCAATCAATGAAAAGTTCCGAGAACAGTTTACAAAAACGAAGGTTTATGTGCCACATTATGATTAGATAGTTATCTGTTTTCGCACTAAATTTAGCGTGCTTCCAGGAGCTTCTAAAACATTAAGGTCGCACAAACCTATAAATCTCTTTGTTCTGTGTACCTAGATTAACCTTGGATGTAAAACTTCTTTTCATACCTTCCCTTTGTGGCTCAGGTGTAGAAGAAATGTGGTGAAACAGTAATCACTTAGCAAATAGTTATCAAGCCTTCCACCATTAAACTTACTACAGGATTACCACTGGCTTCTATTTTGTGTCATTTATAATAATAATAATCTTGTGAATTGTTAAAGGAAGTTGTGTGTCTATTTCTGACTTCGTTTACGCTTCTACTGAATGATCACTAATATATTAATCCATCAATAGAATATTTAGAATTTCAGTTGAAGTGGGTTATTGATATTTATTTCACTTAAGATATTTTTATTCAAATAACACAAAAACACCAACAATGAGCGAGTTAACGAATAATGTTGAACAAGCGAATATGTATGCTTAAGATAATGACTAATTTAAAAGACCCAAACAATCAATGTTTAAGCGGATCCGTTAGATAATGGCGTAGACTAACACATAAATGAGTTCAATCATACAACCTCACTTCTACAAGCATGAATATATACGTATAAAATTATGATAGAATTATGATGGCTTGATGTAATACCATTTTGTCTGTCCACCAGATAGGCTAATAACTCATAGATAGAGTAATTTGAACATGTATATAATCGTGTGTCTGTGTATGGATTTAGGTATAAATCATATTTACTGTGTTCCAGAAAAAATGCATCGAGTTGGACAGAATGAAAACACCATAAAGAATAGCTGAGTTGAAATAATTAGTGTACAACCGTTGGAACAGTATGAAATTGAAATGTAATGATTTGTGTGAGTTTTATGTTTATTAATGAGGAATTCAAGTCAATAAACAAAATTTTAAGGTAAACAACTGCCCAAAAAAAATCTTTTTAAAACTTTCATTCAAAAAGAATTATTTTGGCGTGCAAAGTGTTCGTCGATTGGGAGGTAGCATTGAAACGATATTTCCTACTCCCGATTTAAATATCACCTATGAAACAAAATTGTTATTTCCTCATTCAATGATCCCCTTCAATAATGTGTCTTTTTAATGGTCACCCCTATTACTACTCACTCTTTTCCATTGCATTATTTTGATAGTTTCTCTTTTGTTCGCGCTCTTATGAGTGAATACTTCTGGGCTGGGTTAGACACCACTTATCTCGTCTTAGCTGGAAATTTTGTTGGACAATTCCGAATTGGTTCACTCATACTCCTTCATGTCTTCTACCATGGTTCTATTAGCTAGGAAATAATTCTCCAGGTATGCAAGCCATAAAACATGATTAGGCGCTTTAAAGATAGGGTTGTAATACTTAATTATGTAAGTCGGTATTAATGAGTGTATCAATACTATAAGACTAAGAGACTTGATATAATTTATCAATATGGGGACTTGTGGAAATTATAGTATTTTAACAGTTGAGTTCACGAGTCTACCTAAGCTAGACCGCGCGCTCACGCAAGACCGAAGGTCCTTGATTCGAGTCTCGCGTACGAAATCGTGGATGCACACTGCTGAGGAGCCCCATACTAGGACGAAACGGCTGTCGAATGCTTTCAGGTTCTCATTTGCGACATAATTTAGTTGAATAGTCTTGTCGTGATTGCCTAACCTATATTATTTAACGTCGAAGTCACAACATTTTCTCTCTTAACTTGCTTTACCGCGACAGTCATAGTTTACCTCTCCGTAACAACCCTTGAAGAACGAATTTAACCTTACCATTAAAGTATATTTAATGCAAAGACAAAAGAATTACATTGAAATATAATTCCTTCGTGGTCGAGCTCTACAACCTGAATAACATTGGCGCGTTGGTGTTCATTGACTTTATTTTTCATTTACCATTCAATGACAAAATGTAAAACTTTTGAAGTAGGATTCATACAACTTGAAGTATCACATAATTGGATTTTAGCGTTATCCCTCTGTCACTAAAGGAACAAGAATGATAACACCCACGGACTCTATGTTACAAGGTTCATTAGGATTAAATATTTCAAACATGTTCAACTATAACGAATGACTATTATCAACAGTTGAGATCATGAGTCAATTGAAGATAGACCACCATGGAAAACCTGGGAGCACCGGACGGCCGTTTCGTCCTATTTTGTTCTAGTGTTTCCAGGTTTTCCGTGGTGGTCTAGCTTCAATTGACTCATGATCTCAACTGTTGAAATTACTACAATCTCCACAAAACCCCTTCTGATACGAATGAATATACGTTTAAACATAGAAAACAAAACATACCGGTAATAATAATAATAATAATAATAATAATAATAATAATAATAATAATAATAATAATAATAACGAGCCAAACGAATTATACTGTAATACAAAATGAAATAGAATCACTAAACATTTGCAAACCATTTAATTGTATAAATTAAAAAGCAAAATGTCAATATTATTGTTGTCAATGTTAATTTATGTGTAAAAGTTGATCCATATAACTAAATGGAATTTTTTAAACTCGGTTCTTATTTAGTTTACTACTGTACTGCCAACAATATAGACCGTTTTTCACTCCAAGTAATATCGATGCAGTAGGCGAAATGTGTCCATTCACTATTACATGTCTTATTGTATGTCTGTATTTAGAAATTTATTAAAAATATATTTACATATCACACTTCCCCCGTAACCGTTTTAAGGTTACTGCTGTTCCAAAGCCCGGGTAAAGAAGGAGGGTTGGGCATGTAGTCAGCAACTTCGTCCCGTAGAACACAAACTTGCTAAACAAAACGCTAACCAGAAACAATCATTAAAACAATCTAAACTCGAACCTGAAAGTTGAAGAATCTTCATTTAGAAGCGTTATGATGACTCACGGTGATTTCCATCCGTTCTTCAGCTAAAAATAGCTTGTAATAACAATCATCGTATTATAATGTGATCATGTTTGTTTTTTTATCATCTCAAGTGAATGATAAAAGTATGCAAACCGATCAACATGTTATTTTCTTATCGCTTTTTATTTTTGACTTCTATAATTAAAACAAGTCACTTTATGATACTCTAGCTGTACAGTGTTTTTTTTTGTTAGACTTTTCGGCTGATGTAAGTTTTTAATACATTACTGTGTAATGATATCATGAAGCCATTGTGGTATAGATATAATGCTGATCGAACTATTTCCAGTCACAATAATCTCAATGGTATCATTGTTTTATGTTAGTCAGTAAACCCTGTTTTCACGTAGGTTACATGTCGTTTGTCAATGTGCTGTACCCTCACTTGAACAAGCCGATACTTTTCCCTGTACTCGAACCCGTGTCAACCCAGCTTCACAGTCTAAGACTTTACCGTTGATCTAATAGTGTCACGACTCACCTCCTGCAAGGCTGAGATGTTTCCATAGAGTAGCCGTTGAGTAGTAACCGTTAGCACGTTTGTCTAGCCCTTTGGTACCGACCGAATTTTATTAATCATCCTGCGTTTCGACTCCTAGTTCATGTGACTTAACACTATATTTTCATTTCTTATGTAGTTGAAAAGTGTTGGTGATGCAGCGTGGCGAATGGTGAAGTATAACCTGTAAGGATACCATACAAAGAATTACTGTCCATATTTTTAACTCAGTAATTATTAGACGCTTAGACTTGCATTATTTTATTCTCCGATTTCTAAGCTTTCATCTAACCCAGAAATCGTTATCATATATCTTATTGTTCCAGATTTATAGTTAATTAATTAATTAATTCCTCATATTGTATCACTTGTGACTAGGTTAAGTAAATATTGTGATTTTCTAATTGTGTTGTTGTATGATCAGACATTCCAGATATGTTATTGTATGAGTTTTGTGTCATGATTGAACCGACTATAATAAAGAGAGGGAGATCATACAACCGTTCCCTGTTACTATGTCCTGACCACTCAAAACCCAATACAACCCGAATAATTTGTTTGCTTTTTTCAACGTAATAGTCAGTAGAAATCCTTTCTTAATCCAGTTTAAATATCAGTTTTTTTTTTCAATTATGAATGTACTGAATTTAAGTAAGTAGTAGAAGTATCCTACTGTACTATACTTTTTTCTCCTCTTCCACTCTCTCACTTATCCATATAGATCGAAGGATTAGATATTTCGTTGATTGAAAATCCTGAAGATTACCCAACTGTTATCCATGGTACGTATTTTCGTAATTGGGATTCAATACGTAGAGAGGGCTTAAAACGTATGCAACGTACTCATATACATTTTGCACCGGGTGAAGTTGGTGAAACTGGTGTGATAAGTGGTATGCGTTCAAGTGCTGAGATTATTATTTATATTGATTTAATTAAAGCAATAAATGATGGATATAAATTTTACTTATCAAAAAATAATGTTATTCTATGTGAAGGAAATAAAGAAGGTTGTTTACCGACGAAATATTTTCGTGCAGCTTATCAACGTAATCCACGTGAGTGAATTTCCATACAGATATATATATATATATATGATAATTGTTTAATATATCACATACTCTTCGACAATTGAGAATTCAGCCTATTCCTACCAAATAATGGGTCCATTAACGCCATCATATTTGGTCTCAAGTTCGACTCCCTATTCTATTAAGGTCAGCTTTGGCAACAAATCTCATATATAAAGCGTGGCTCAAAGCCAACCCACATGAACTTCTAGTTGGTAGGATGAGTCACAAAAAAATCATTCATAAAACTACACTAAATTCACCTGTTAGTAAACCCAACCACCAATCAAAGATTATCCAAGTAAAATAACTTGGATTTGTTTAAATCAGAAATCCATTCGATTATAAGCATAAAATTCGTGATCCCAACTTTCCATGAAATATTAAGTCTCAACAGGTAAATAAAAAAGAAATTTGTCATAGAAAATTAAGTAATAGGGGTGTATCGCTAATTAACTGTAATTTATAATTGGCGAAATAAACGAGATATCACTGATATCAACAAGTAGGCAGATGCAGAACTTACAAGTAGAACAGTATTGAAATACCATAAACCAAGTGTTTAATAAATAAATATAGAAAGGCAAACAAACTGATTCTTCAAGAAAAGTTATATAATTTCCATGATTTTCTTTCCACGTTTCTTTCTCATAAGGAATCACTATTGTGTAATATTTAAGCTAGACATACAGTACTTATGTCCTGATAGTAGATCAGTTGATGAGAGGAGGGAATATGGAACTTCATTGACTTCGATATCTTTTACACAATTTCGGCAACTCCCTATCCAGGCCTATAGAGCTCATTTACCAAATAAAAGCTTGGGTACTAGACTATGAGTCACACTTTTGATGTAAGGTCTAACGACAACGCACTGTTATTCAGACTGTTCTAAGTGTCTTAGGGTTTGAACCCGGCACTTAGTGGTTGAAAGCTGGGTACTTTAACTTCTAAGTCATCAATGCAGCTTTTTGTCCTTCCCAGCGTACTCTGGAAGTTAGTTAGTTAATCCCACACAGACAAGTCGATTGGATTATCGGGAGAAAATAAATTTAGTTAAAATATATGAGATTATAACACCGAAGAAACCAAAGCAAACGGGAACACTGGCAGTTTACTTTGGTACAATTCGTGTATATCAAAGACTTCGAGTCAACCATACTTTATGAATTGGATGAACACATTACTAGTCTACTTTTGTACAGCTGCATTAGGGACATTCCCATCGGGAAACCCAGTAACAACCCAAAAGCATTGAGAACAATAATGAATAGAAACCAGTATGAAACATGAATAACAACGCAAGTGTTTGTTACATGCATGTATAAAATACATGAACCAGAGTATATGCACTATATGTTACCTATACTAGCATAGATACTTTCTATCACAAGTATACGTTACTTACTTGCATATGTAGAATACATAGACCAATGCGTATACACTACATAGTACATACATGGGTATGGGTGCGATTTGCTTTTGCTACTTATAGGTCGGAGTTCAATCCATTGACAATGAGAAATGAATCAATTAATTGCGTTCAAATCATTTGAATAAAGCTGTCTATTGACGATCAACTCCACACCCATACCATAGACAAGTTTAGAGTCCTGTGCACTGGTTACGACACAATTTATGGCCATCACTCTGGATCACACCGGACCTGACGGTCTTTCTTAGAGATAATCCATTCAGACACCAAACAAAATAAATTCCTTTTTACGTTTCTTCATTTTATAATTATTTTTACCACACACCGCTTATATAGTCCATATTTACTATAGAGTGGGGGACTAGTACGATATCCATCCCTCGTGTTAGCTCATGAAACAAAGTCCCGTCATCTTCGGGGCACCTTGAGGTGTTAGTTGGACTCTACCCTGTCCCATAGAAACAAACTAGAATAACATCCCACATGGCTGATGTTGATGCTAAATCGCACAGTTAAAAACAATCTCACTTCATATTCTGTCTTAGTAATCAATCCATAAGGTAATTGATTATTATTATTATAAGCTGTATAAAGATGTGACATACTCTTTGATTAGTGTGAGAGATGGGAAGCTCTGTTAGGTAACTTTGTGCAAGGTTTATTTGAGGAATTTTATACACGCACAATCCATTTTATTGTTTTGAAGAGAGCAAGAACATATATTTACGCAGAATAACATGAATTCATATTATTTCGAAAGACTGTCACTTAAATTAAAACATTTTTATGTAAATTAATTCATTCCTCAGGCACTTGAATTACGAGCCACACTCTTAGTACGAGTGCTGATAATATACTAGCTGGTTGCTTAAACTGAGGTAGGATTGATCAAAGCTCGAAACCGGAACATATTGTTTGAAAGTCAAACTCCTTAACCATTAAGCCACCACTCCAAAACTGCTTCCTATAAGCATGACAAAAATTCAATATTAGTTTGATAATACCGCACACCATCGAATTAATAATGTAATAATGAGGAGTTCATTAAGTCATGTTCTGATAGATATGTTTCTGAATTGAAAATAGTTGTGGCAAAATTACTGACTCTATTATGAATGATGATGGATTTACCATAAAATACTAATTTCCCTTTTAATTCCATATATGTTATAATTAGGTTAACCCTATTGGGCAACAGTGCGATATAAGAATTGAATTAGAATTTTATTTTAGGCATTGATTTTCAAGCAGACGTATGATAAAAATGAATAGAGCGTAGTGTGGTCTATGATTGTTGTTAACCAATCGACGTTCTTTAAGAGTTTGTCATCTTTCACGTTGGGTAAAGAATATATCACAAACAGGCGAATACCTAGGCAACTAATCATTCTATAAATAACAATCAATATACGTACACACACACAGTACATATAAGAACACTCTGAAGGTTAATATGTATGATAACTTAACAAAGGCAAATATGAATGTACAGAGAAGATTCACGTGGACATTGTAGTGTCTATATGGGCCTCTATACAATTAATGAAATGACAGAATATTTCAAATATTTTGGTTATATGTTTATTATATGCAACGACATACAACCCATCTATTAGAATTTTTCAACAAGACGCATAATAACATACAGTTTATCATAGAACAATATGTTCCATTTCCTTAACGTTACCAATGACAAAAGTGACCAGTTGGTACAGTTCAGAAAAAAGCTGACAAGACCCTAATAAGCTCAAATAAATTCATGTTATTTTCCGCGTCTTTATTTTTACTCTCTCCATGAAATACAAGAGAGGAATATTGACCAGTTCCAACCGGATTCGAAAGTTACTGTTACCAAACTCAGTCCTCTAGCTAACTACTCTTCTTATGAAACATGAAGGATGATGTGATGAATTTAAATCTTTGTGATACAAGGTTATGGATGTACATTACTCTAGGTAGTCTTATACTAAGATCAAAACACATTTGTTCGTTTTATTATGGCTTAGATCATAGATTGGTCATAATTAGACAACCATCGGAAACCAAGAAATACTGAACAGGTGGCTTATTTTAGTATGGGACGCCTCATTAGTGCACACTAATAACATGAGCCCATCAAAGGTCAGGGCCATTACCTTCAAGTCTCGCGACGAGCGCTTAACTTTTAGACCACTTTGTTGGCATCCATTAGTTTTTATTTCTAATTTCAATTGATTCGCGATGTTGTACAATTATCGTCCAATAATATTGGTAAGTAACTGCCTCGCTACCAGAAAGTTTGGACTTTAGTGATGATGGCTTCTTGCCAGAACTCTGAGAATCACATCTAGAAATAAGTCGCAAGTGTACATATTCTATCGTATCTTGTTTTTTGGTATAATATTATAAAATGCCTGAATATCTATCATTAACTGCCTGTCCATTAAGATCATTTTTTAAATTAAATTTATTGATATAGAATTGCGGAGATTGTTGAATTTTATCGAAATTATGAACTTATTTAATTTAGAAAGTTATTGAAAACCTGGAAGCATTGAATGGCTGTTCCGTTCTAGTATGATGCTCTACACTAGTGCACATCAACGACCCCGCAACGGGGAATTGAACCCTGAGCCTTCATTCTTGAGCTTCGACAGGTATTTTCTGGAGTTCTAGTGCGAAGCTGTGACTAGTGGAATTCAAACTTGTCGGATATGTTACAGTTACTCAACACAGGCAATGAAGGATCGTGATGCAATATCGCGAATCGATTGAATTTAGAGATTAACACCATTGGGTGCCAGCTCAATGGTTTAAAAGTTAAGGGTTCATGCGCAAGACCAAAATTCGTGAGTTTGATTACCTGTGGTAGGGTAATGAATTCGCATTGCAGAACAGTCCAGTACTAGAACGAGGCGGTTGTTCAGTGTTTCGGGGTTATTAATGGTTGTCTAACTTAAACCTGTTTGTGATCTCAGCAAAATTTAATTTTTCTTGATAGACTACCTCAGTAAATAGAGTAGGGGGTCCGAATAAATCTTATCATTTACAAAGAAACTTGCATAAAATTCATTGATATCATAGTTTTCTTCTGCTTTGTGCCCGCTAGCTATATGCTTCATTCGACAACTCAATTATATTAATATGTATATATATACTAAAATTGTTTGGTGACCCCCTCACTCTCCGCATAGAATTCTTATATATTCCGTCAACGATCGGTCAGAATTCTAGAAAGATTAGATAAGCACATCATACTCTCCCATATTTTTATTGAACTTAAAAAATTCCCGTGATCTTATACATTAAATATGAGGTTATAATATATGAAATTGCAATTTGTATAAAACTAGGTCATATGTTGTATAGAGCTAATTAACAGATATATAAATATTGAATTGTAATTCATGAACAGTAAGGGATTTTTTAACACTTAATAAGTTAAATAAATGCTTTTAATCAAGGTAAAGATGCCATAAACCAGTACATACATGTTATCATATATATATATAGATCGATACCCCAGAAAATAGCTTTCCAAGTTTCACATTTTTATATTTATTCATCACAATTTTAACAAATATAGTATTATCAAAAGGGGTTTGTGGAGATTTTAGAAATTTCACCGATTGAAATCATAAGTCAATTGAAGCTGGACCAACATGGAAAACCTGGAAGCACTGGACGGCCGTTTCGTCCTAGTATGGGACTCCTCAGCAGTGCGCACCCGTGAGATTCAAACCCAGGACCTATCAGTCTCGCGCGCGAGCACTTAACCAATTAGACCACTGAGCCGGAGTATATATATATATATATAATATACAAACTTATTATTCAAACCTTCTTTGATCCACTTCTTTTGACTTTAAATAATCCTAAACGTTAGATAATTCTCATGACGAGATATGACCACAGTTGACCATATGTTCAAGGATTGACCTGTTTGACTGGCATAGATTTCCTTTTTAAATAGTAATACAAAGTAGCACTTGGGTATGCATTTGACAAATCTACTCTGTTTACAACCAATGTAACCTGTTCCACATCAACAATTAAACTTATAACCGCACACTGAGAGATGGTTCAAAGCAGTGATCGTTTTCCATCAAAAGAATTATCGTTCAAGATTATTCACTAATCCAAAAGAACTGTCTGAAAGTGTGTTCAGATCAGAAATTTGCACAATTCAAAGCTGATCTCTTGTTTTATCAAGGTTTTAGCACCCATTTTCTAATTCGGTATATGTATAAATATATACATCTAGTTTAACTTCCAAAAGTTCACTACTATAGAATAGTTAATGATATTGATTATCTATTTACACATATGATTTTTATAAGTTTATGTCATGTGATATATTGAAATAACAATTATTATTATTTGCTAAAGTACTACAAGTTTTTGACTAAGTAACACAATATCAATGCTAAGCGGTAAGATCTCAGACTATATAGTTGAATAATAACATAGTTTCAAATCCGATAACGGGCATTCAGATTATCTAATGGTTCATCATCAAGTTGGAATTGAATAATTTTCAAGTTTATGTTAATATATAGGAAAGTAAAAGTTGTTCTCTAATTGAACAAAGTCATTATAAATCACTCAGTTGTTTGTTTACCAGTAAACTAACCTTGAAGTGAATTTCTTTAAATTCTATTGAGAAGCCATAATACAGCGGAAGTTCAATAAATATATCAACTTCACAAGTGATTTCACCGCTATTATACTTCACACAGAATAATGCCTTAGATGAGTTAAAACATCTTCCGGCAGTTACCAGATATATCTTATTATTTCCAACTACTTAACATGTTTCAGCTACCAGCTTTGACTATCCTTATGATGAACTTTGTGAAATTTTACGCTTGAATGATTTACACATATTCTTACAATCTATTAAAATTGGTGTGTTTCCAAGTTTTAGAAAACTTATGGAAACAATGTCGTTAGTTATAAGGTAAATGCTTCATGAAGGATTTACAATCCTCTATTAGGTGTCTTTTAAGATATATGGTACTTTCTATTTAGCAGTGTTTATAGGCTAATCCACATAACAATTATGTAAATGCCTCCCATTGACCTCATAATACATTTTCACTTGATATTGATTTAATAATACGAACAAACAGTTATTAGGACGCGTAGTATCTTGAGTGCGATATAGAGATACACAAACTTCCCTATATACAAACTCTCAACCAGCTACTGAATGAGACGACTAAAATGGGAAAGGACATTTATTGGACTGAACCGATTCACAAGCATAAACGCTCATATATATAACAGTATTGTTGTATCCTTATCTCACTTTATAATATTAATTGAGATGGGATAAAATGTAAAATCATATTTACGTTGAGTGTTATATCTTTAATTTGAATATGTAGTGTAATATTCATTTAGCGTAACTTTCTATCCAATTATTTTATTATAAAATTCTCAGTATTTTCAGTTACACTTGATATTCATTGACTAACCATCAAATATCAGAACTCGTTTGTTTTTCTTGCTTAGAGGGTAAATCATGTCTTCATATTGCCATCTATTTGTGTATCTTCTATCTGCCACTTAGTGCCAATTTCAGTTTCCTGTTTTTTAAAGTTGACTTTCTACATTTATAGCAGACAGTAGTATCAGGTTAAATGGTCTTGTGTGAATTATTTCACGTTGAATGTGATATTCATTATGGATTGACTTACTTCAAGATGAGTTAATGAAGTTTTACTAAAAAGTTGTGAATTTAATCATATCATGAGTAAGGCAGTCGTTATTAAAACAGTTGTATGAGCATTGAACAATGTCACAAGTTAGTTGAAACTAGAAATGTAAACCATTACTTATCAAGTTAATAGTTTCCAGAATAAACTCTCTCTTTTGCTATGAAATTTGAAGATCTTGTAATCGATCCCTAATGTGTTCGTAGGTAGATTACCATTAAAGAATCACATACGACGATGAAATATCTGTCTAATATTCCCTTGTTTCAACTAGTTTTACTGTTTAAATACTTGATATTCAACCAATGAGCTATATGTATTATCTTCTTCCCCTTGCATTGTGTACATCTTCAGTTTTCTCATGTTTCATATGTTATTTTTCAGCAGTTATATCGACGTCTCTTTCTCTGTATAAATATAAGCTTTGTCATTACTCTGTATTGTTTATTGATCGTTTCTACTATTCATATTGTACTTTATGTTTCATTTTTTTGGAATATATTCATGTGTAAACACGTATGAATAATTATGAATGAGAATGCACATATATCTCTATATACTTGTAGTTAAACTATAATGCCAAGTATATTTTATCGTATATAATCACTTGTTGTCGGATTAGATAATATTTAGTTGTATATACTTAAACTATATGGATTATTTACTCTGTTTTTGTTCTTTTTTTTCTTTTTTTTTACATTTTTATTGATTTTAATTATGTACAAATAGTTTATTGATTTCTACGTTGATGTTGTCCAATTCTTTTCATTATTTCAAGAATATTAAAGCTGTAATAATAATAATAATAATAATAATAATAATAATAATAATAATAATAATAATAATAATAATAATAATAATAATGGTAATGGTAATGGTAATAGTAACGGTAATAAACAGCAATAATAACAGTGATTTAAACACTTATAATATCATGTTATTGTGACCTTATCCATTCAAGTACAAACTGTCTGTTTCTTCTTTCATATAAAATTGTAGTTTATTGTGCTATTGATAAGTGATTGTACGAAACAGAATTCTTAACTATACTTTGTAACCTTTTAGAGAAGTCTTCTACTCTTAAGGTTTATATAGAAAGCAAGAGGAAATGTTTAGGATTTTGTGACCTTGAGAGGCTGAAAAACATTCTAAGATTGGCAATAAATTCAATAAAATCATTCAATTAGGAACATGTAAACAATTTATCGTAAAAATTTCTAACGATCGTTTTGATTGATTGAAGTATGTTCAGCATTTTCTTAGATTCAGAAAACTTTTTTCGATGACTTATCAAGAACACTTAAAACGCATTGATTTATGTCTTTATATAATAAAATTGTCACTTTACAATTGTACCCTTTTCTATTGTGTACTCTGAGATTCAATTCATTTTAACATTTGATTATCCAACTGTGTGGTGAGAGAAAATTGTGAAGTGTTATTTTTTATAACTGAATAGTAACGTTTACAATAGTTCATCAGACAGACATGAACACGTAAGAAATAATAATAGCTTTGTTTAAATGAGTAATTTCCACACTGACTATGCCCTACCTAAACATATCATTACGGTGTGGCTTGGAGATACTATGTGACTTCTCCAACTTTACCCGACATATCACGTCAAGAAACTTCCCATCATTATAGTTCTCAATATCTAGATCATGGACATTTGGATTAAGCCATTTTTAAAATACATTGACTGAAGTGACATAGCTAATATTTCAATGATTACTACTTGTATATGTGCTATATAATATTCAACTTATTGTACACTGATTTGTTTATATTACTGTTTGTTTTTTTCTATATGTGCACAGGTCTTAAACTTTCACTCACTCCGTAAAACAGCTGACTTGAATAAAGCTTCTCGTATAAAGAACATACTTATATTTGTTGTGTATAAAAATAAAATTCTCACAAACATTCTGATACAAAAGTACAAAATTCGGTCAATACAGTTATATCGTGATTATGTTTACTTCCAGTTTCAACTCTACGTTAGTGCACTACACTTGAACAGCCCACTTTCATATATTTATCTATATCTTTTGTTTTCTGTTATATAATATAAACTACTTTTACTCTAAACGAGTAGTTTGTTGTTTTGGAGACTATTTTATTTTATTTTCCAGATAGATATTCAGATTCGTTTGACTGATTTTTGACTTTTTGGTTTGCTATTGTATAACATATATATAATTTTTTTATATTTGGATTTTACTGAGCTGCATATTCTTATGCATATTACATAGAATTGTACACATTTGAATTACTACATTATAAAGAGTTATTATCAGTCCTAGTTGTTTTTACTTTACGTCATATCTGGTTTACATATTTTGGGTGGGGAAAACCTTGTGTTGATACATTGTCTCCTTTTTATATTCTCAGCTTATATTGTTATCATAAAATATCTGTCAATTTGAACCGCTGTACCCCACCTTCGTCAATTCTATATGATAATGCTTTGTAGGCACATCCAGTGTAAGAAAGTTACCACTTAATGACACTTAGTTATGATCACATATTTCATATACAGTTGACTGGAGTAGGAAATGTGAATCGTTGCTGGTTGTAAACTCAATGATCTCAAAGTAATGCAACCAGTATGATGGTTGTCCTGAGTCCTTTTTTTAGCGGGGTAGTGTATCCACACCAGAGGAGTGCAGTACTCGAACGTAGTATTCATTCAGTGACCCTTGGTTTTCTAGTGATTCTCTAGCTATATCCAATCTCTCATATACTTCATGATCGAGGTCTGTCGTTTGGTTTTAGTTTTTCTTATCGTGAATCAGTTTAAGCCGACTAAAAAGGATCGTATTCAAACGTCGATGGGGTCGTGGACGAGCACTGATGTGGGGTCCTATGCCAGAATGAAACAACTGTTCAGTCATCCCTGGTTTGACTGAGATTAGTCAGTGATTCAAACTGCAATGTTCAACAGTATCCAAAAACCGCTTATACTGATATTTAATTGGTCGTTATCTACATATTATTGTAATAGGACGACTATCTTCTAGCGATTGGATTAATTGATTCAGAGTTTCCAACACTCCTCTAAATACAGTTTGGGCAACTACATCGAAACGTCTAGTTCAAAATTGAGTAAACAAAGCCAGTACAGCATTATCAGGTTCCATCATAATATTAATAATCCACACTCCATGAATTGTAGGAAACTGACGATATTGTGATGAATGGTCTAAAAATTATCTACAGTGGAAGTATTTCAAATCAATAATTCTATTAGCCGGACAGTTCTTCACTCACACTGACCTATCTGAAGATCGAGTTCGTCGCATTAATGTAGTAGTACTAATGATAATAGTTATTACTATCGATTTATTCAATACTTTGAATTTCGTAACAGTAAGGAAATCTTAATACTAGCTATGGAATATTGTGATGAAGTTCCCTTTAACTTACATTCAATATGTAATTATCCCTGTAAATATGTGACTTGCAAAATGTTTTCAAAAGTCAATATTCGCCGCTGGTCTATTACTTTAGCTGCTAGGATTCTTTTCACCAACCGGAGATATTCATTGAGTGAATTTCAGTATAGCCAACTCTCTTCTCTACAAACAATAAACTAGGAGAGAAAATGCCAAAAAACTATAGTGTTTATTTTGGTATTGTTTTGCTTATATCTTCCCATTGAGGTTTAAGACTGCAATCGATCAGTCTGTTATTGGCATATGTGGTCAATTGTAGTCTTAAACCTCAATGGGAAGATACAAGCAATACAATACCAAGTGAATTTAAATTCACCCCATTGCACAGGGAAGTATCTGCCATGACTCCGTAGGTCAGTGGGTAACGCAATGGTGTTTGGAGTGAATGGTAGTGGGTTCGAGTCTCGGAATGAGCACCAACTCAGATTCAGGTACGTTCATCTGACGAGTCCCAAACAGGACAAAACGCGCGTCAAACTGGGTTCCACTACTAGCCAAAACCTATCTTTGCTTATATAGTGTTTCTGTTAAAGTCTTCTAGTATATGCCATTGTAAGAAGTTGTAAGGTTTATGGTTAGCAAATCAAAAAATAGAAAGTTTTATTGATTTATATGCACAGTAAAAAATAAATATTCTTAACTTTTATGGAGTTGACCGACGTAGATAGCATCCAATTACTAACGATATTTAATAACATATTTAGGACAGTAAGAGTTGTCACTTTGTTGGAGACACTGAGTCAAGTGAAATTTATCTAAACTGCACAACAAGATGGTCAAGCATTAGGAAAGTGTTTAATGACAAAAGTGGACTGAAGAATATGATAATTCCATATTAACAGTAGTACTACCAGAATTGTATGTATTGGGGGTTGTGGCAGTATTAAGTTAGTAAGTCAAATATGCCTCTGGAGTTAATAGTTTGTAGGTACTGACAGTATTTAGAAAGACATAGCATTGAACTCATCATCTATTTTGGATCTTTTAATAGTAGCCAATAGACCATAACACTATTGCTCAGTGTTGTATCAGAAATTTTAAATATCTATCCCAAACTATAAGATGTATTGCATAAATGTTTTGTATTTTATTTGCCTAATCAGATGAGTTATGCGTCTAAATAATCAATATCATTCGTTTAACTTAATTGTGTTCTGATATATTCGTCATTTGTGTATAGAAAGTACAGTAACAGAATCAATCAATTCATTTATAGTATTATATTTGAGTACATAATAGAAACTACTCTAAAAATGAGACTGAGTAAAATTCTTTGTGATACTAATAAACCAAAAAAATTAACTAAATTAGTAACTAGAAGCATGACTCTTATCATCTGTTCCAATAATAATTGTGATCAAATAATTAAAAATAATTATCATTATTGTTTCCAGACCATATGTCACACTAATCTATTAAAAGGAACTTAGTTTTAAAAAGTCATATATTTTATTTGTTTGCAATAGTGTTCACAAATCATAAGAACAGTACATAATCACAAAACTTCTTGAACAACGTTTGCCTACTTATAAGTAGTCAAAATTATATAGCTAAAATGTCAATCATAGGCTTTTGAATCAAAAAATTTCAAAATGAAGCAAAAACGAATATTAAATAAATTTTAAGAAGCGCCTTGTTTGTAGATCATGTACGATAACTAAGTCAAACAATAAAGCCAAACCTGTAGATAAAATTCAACTGGAACATTAAATCAATATGATTACTTCAGGATATATATGGTTACTAATAACGTTTTTCTAAATCAATAAAATATATTCCATAATGTTTAAAATCTCGGGCTAACTTTGATTAGGTTAAAACTGGCAAACTGGAACCCATGGATAACTGTTTCGTCCCATCAATGGGTCTTTTCACCAACATATACCTAGGATCTTACGTCAAATACACTTTATTTATACCACAAAATAAGAGATCCGTCAGTTTATATTGTCCAGTTTTATTTAATTCGTGATATTAGGCGACCATGATTCAGTATTATTAGTGATATTTGTCTTGCCCAATATCTGAAACATTCATATCTAATATCCAATAACAATTATAGATATCCATTTATACAATTCTTTATTGACTTCTTATATTTGTTATCATTATGATCTTTTATAAAATTAGAAATCAATGGGAACCACTTAGAACTAAGAACTCCTGTGAAGTTATCATTCATTATCTGATTTCATACTAGCCGCAGTATTGATTTGAAATAAAATAGTTTTAATTCCGGGTTGAGATTTAAAGAGGATGTGAGTAGTTTAACGGTAACATTTTACACTATGAAACTGAATGATATGGGTTGAAATTCTACAGGAAATAATAGTTATCTCAAGATTTCAAGTCAACATTACTAACGAGTCCCAACTAGCATGAAACTTGGGTCAAGTAGAGCATCTAGTCAATTACCTCTAATCACTTAATGCTTAAAACTACGTGCTGCTTTCTAGATGCTACAATTTATTACCAGATAAAAATGAGTAATAACTTGGTGGAGGGTTGGAGATATTTCACTAACCAGTTCAAATAATATAGAGGAGCAGTCCATTGACAAGTGAAAAATTTTGCATAAAACTACTGATTGGTTAAAAATTAAATTTTATCCGTTATTTTAATATTAAAATAATTCACGACAACATGTACAGTACCACATTAAGTGGTTGGAAGTAATCGACAGGAAACCCCGAACCAAGATTCAGTTCTAGTTGGCACTTGTTGATGAAGCGTAGTCGGAATTTAAGGGAACTGATACTCTGTGCAGGATTTGTATCCATGTAACCTGGACCAACTCTCCAGAAAATTATCATTAAGCTACTCAGGTTTCAAATGACCTTCTACACCATCGAGTTGTTTACATTGATCACTACTTACGTGTCACGATGAATGCCAATTAGTTCGAGATCAAACATGGTTTCTTGAAGACGAACTTTAACCACTTAACAATTCAACATAATTCATTCAGTGTTAAGTCACTTAGACTAATAGTTAAACTGAAACTTGACTGATAGAATCTAAGAAACACTAAAGGATTAGAAAAAGGTGAATTTGATCATTCAATTCATATAGTAGTGTGTGTTCGAATTCACAGTTCCTTTTATTGTTAATGTTGTCATTTTTTTTATCATATTCTCAAAAAAGATCATCATCAAATTCAATTGACTTCATAAGAGTAAAGGTTAGAAAACTTTTACAATGAAATTCACTCTTCTGATATTTAATTCACTTGATAAATTTAATAACATTCACTTTCGGCACATAAACAATCTTACCTATATAAACAAAGATGGATAGTAGCTAACAGTGGAATCTAGGACGCGCGTTTCCTTTTATTTGGGACTCGTCACCTAGGTGTATCTTCATCTCAGAGTTGATATTCACATATACCAATAAGAGACTGATCAATTGCAGCCCTAAACATCAATGGGAAGATTCAAGTAAACAGTATTAAGTGAATTTAATCTCACCTATATTTATTCAAGAATATAATAATTATATATAATTAACATTAAAAGAATGAGTTTTGACAACATTTTAAAGATCTTAAAGTATTTGAAATGTTTTTTTGTCTAGACAGAAGGTATTTTAAGTGTTAAATGGAGTATATAAAGTAGTGTGAATGAGGAGAGATTGAGAAGAGAAGAACAAACGAAAAAGTGAAACGATAATCTAGTAAACCCACACAATGTATTTACATTTATTAGCGAAAGCAATCAATAACAATCTGATTAAAACAATCTTGAAATTGAAACTAGAAGTTAATGGTTTAACCCGTTACATTACTTTATTTCTATGTTTATATTATTGGTACTTAATCATAATATTTAAATAGAACTAAT